TATTGATACTTATTGTGTTATTATAACACCGAGACAATTCTTAAAATATAATAATACATGAATATACCACAATATTAATTAAATAATGTGAAATAACATGAGTGACTGCATGTCCTCCAGATGATGTGATTTTATTGAAATCTAGATATAATATTTGATTTAGTATTTCCATACATAAATATCATAACTGATATTAGGAGGAGGAGGTAGCGGGCCACGTGACCCGAAGCGACCCATCACCCCAGCGTCGATCGCGATGATCAGTCCGCATAAAACGTGTCGAAATCACACTGGCCCATTGTACGGACGCGTACCTGGCGGAGGCGGAACCCTCGTACTGATGCGGGCCCCACCTAATGTCCAGTCTCGTCCTGCCATTGGCTCCCTGGAGAGAGAAAAAACCGGAAGTGGGGGAGGGAAAATAAAAGCGGAGGCCGGTTTTCTCCCACCCGCTGTCTTTTTTTATGGTATTGTTGAGGATCGGAGGGCTTTCGTGTGGTTTCCGTTTTCCTACGATTCTGCTTTAGCTAAACCAGAGACAGCAATGGTATAATTGCAGGAGGGCCCCGAGGAAGACGAAAATGGGATGGGGAGAGGAGATTAGCCGGAAAAGAGCAGTTTTTGGGATTTTCCTTTGTCTTTCTCCTGCTGCTGCAGCCCCGGAAATCGGGTGAGGTCCGGAGGAAGGAGGAATCCCCGCGAGCTCTATCAGATTAGCTCTTAGCTCTTCTTCTTCATCGTTTCTATTTCTGGTCAGCTTATAATCCCTTCTAGCTTCGTTTTCTCTGTTGGATCTGCGATCCCTAACCTTTCTTTTTTCCGGTTTGCAGAGGGTTTGCATCGGACAAACATGGTGAGGGGAAGGACGGAGATGAGGAGGATAGAGAACCCGACGAGTCGGCAGGTTACGTTTTCGAAGAGAAGGAACGGGTTGCTGAAAAAGGCTTTTGAGTTATCAGTGCTCTGCGATGCTGAGGTTGGACTGATCGTCTTTTCTCCTCGCGGGAAGCTCTACGAGTTCGCGAGTTCCAGGTTCTTTCTCTCTCTCATTCAATGATATAAATAATATTTTTGGGCTTCCTGGTAAAGGTTTCTGTGGTTGATTTGAAAGCTCGATATCGAAAAAGTAAAGCCCTCATTAATCGCGTCGAAAAAGATCTCCCCAACCCGGATCGGCTTTTTAGGGTTTTTGTTTTTAGGGGTTTCGCATTGATTGATCACTTCTCTCCTTTTCATTTTTGGATGGGATCATTTGGCGTTTTTTGTTTGTTTTCTTTTTTTAGAAGTTTTAACTTGTTCTGCATATCTGGAGGACTATTTCTTTCTTTTTTTTTTTT